AAAAAATAAAAAGAGGGGGCAGCCCCCGGTGGGGCAGCTCCAGGCATTAAATACTCTGCTGTACATGAATAAAAGCCCAAGGGCTGGGGTCACCTGCCCCTCACAGTGCTGGGTCTGCAGTCCAGGTGGGCTGGGGGCTCTGCCCCCCTCTGCCCATCACAGCACATCTGCCCGCTTGTCCCGCACCCGGTTCCGGGCTTTCGTGCGGGCTTTGAAGGCAGCCGAGTTGTAGAGGTGCTGGGAGGGAAGGAGAGATGGGTTAGGGGGTGCTCCTCTACTCACCCCTGCCCTGTGCTCACTATGCTCAGGGTTCCATGGCTGCAGGCAGGCACTTGGCTGAAGCCCACGGTGGTGTGGGAGGGGACTGCAGGCACAGCTCTGGGTGGGGGCACCCACCTTCTCAAAGCGGGAGACCTTGCTGGCTTTCAGAGCAGCTGCATCCAGCACCAAGGGAGGCCCGAGGCCAAAGATCTCCCGTAGTAGCTCGTTGTTCTGCAGAAAAAGGGGTCTGTTAACACCCACTGACACCAACCTGGCACCATCCAGCATGGTCACCCACTCCTTACCCGAAGGTGGTGGCAGATGCCAGAGCCCAGCACTTCTTTAAAGGCTTGGTAGGTCCGCCGGCGTGCCCAGCTGTCCAGGTACATGCACTCCAGGCCAAATCGGATGGTCTCCTCTTGGTACTCCCCACTCTGGGCAGAGAGGGGCATCAATGATCACCTGGGCACCAGCCCTGCATGTCCCCTGGTACTCAGCAGAGAGAGGAGCTGGGCAGGAGATGCACAGCTTGGCAGGGAAGGGCACTGCCAGTCTCTGGTACCTCGATGAAGTGCAGGATGTCCCGGAAGATGGATCGCTGCTTCCGTCGGTCTGTCTTGGCTCGGTACTTGTTACTCTCGGTAGCCAGGACCTTGAGCTGGGCTTGTAGGAACTCTGTGTCTTGGTGGCACAAGTCCTCCTGCCACAAATCCAGGGGAGTTTGGAGAAGACACAGCTCTGGGCAATGCATGCCACTGCTATCACCAGGACAGGGCTGGGGGATCACCAGGGCCAGCCCCGCTGCCTGGGCACTGCTGGTGACACCAGGCTGGTGCATCCTAATTCTGTCAGTGCCAGCTCAGCTGGGGGATGGGCAGGGTCCCAGTGCCAGCAGCTCCCTGTCCACCCACTGCCTCCTGTTGCTGCAGTGCTCCCCATACCTCCATGTCCTGGGCCAGCTCGAAGATCAGTGCGATGGCCTCCCCAGCCAGGATGCGCAGTGCAACGCTGCTGCTGGAGAGCAGAGGGGGCAGCTTCAGCCAGCCACTGGGGAGGAAGGCAGGAAAGGAGTCAGAGGGGCCAGGCATCACACTGGAAGTGCCCCCAACCACAGCTGGCTGCTCCACACCAGCCCAAACACCCCCTCACTTCCCACTCACTTGTCCAAGATGCTCTTGATGTGTGAGGGGGGGCAGATGGTGAGGAGCAGGGACCACGACTGGAGTGCACTGCAGTGCAGAGGGCCATGCTGGGCTGGTGCCGAACCCCCCTCGTCTAGGCTGGAGGGGCTGAAGATGCCCTCCAAGCAGGACAGGCATGAAATCAGGTCCTGGAGGGAGGAAACATGCCTGTCAGACCACAGCTGCCAGGAAGACACCAAAGCAAAGCCATGCACTGGGGACCAAAAGGGACCCACCCTGACCAGGGGCACCAGGAGCCCCCCAGGGCAGGAGGGACTCCTCCACCCAGGACACAGCATCTCTGCGAGGTGGGCTTCTACACTCAGCTCAGCTCCAAGCTGCCTGAAGTGTCACTGATGTCCCTGTGCCCCTTCCCTTGCTCAGCTCCAAGCTGCCCTGGCACTGTATGCCAAGGGTGGGTGGCATGGCAGCCCCTGGGGTGCCCTCCAGCAGGGGTGCAGGTGACACCCAGGCACAGTTACCTCGAGGTCAGCAGCAGCAATGTAGCAACACATGCCCAGGGCCGTGGCACACTGGTGAGAGATGTGGTGAAAAGGCAGTCAGAAGCAGCAGCACCAGGCCAGAGCCAGTGCCCAGCCACGGGGAAGCAGGGACAGGGTGCCTCTGCTTTACCCCACTGCTCCCTGCAGCACCCAGTCCTGCCACCCTCCCGTGACTGCAGGGGTCTCCGAAGGCCCAAGAGCAAAGGGGCCAGATCTTACGCTCTGCCGGGCACTGGGGCTGGCTGTGCTGTCTGCCAGGATGCTGATGAGCAGGGGCTTCAGGCTGAGAAACATCTCTTCCCCCTCCAGCCCAGAGCCCATCTGGAGGCAGAGGAGGGTGAGGACGGTGCCCGCCAGTGCCTGCCC